AAAGGGATTAAACTAGGCGGATTATAGTCCGACGGATTGGTCAGTCTGTCAGACAGTCGCCTTGATGCTCTTAAGGCAGCATGCAAAAACCGTTGCCAAAATTATTTGGGTGAAATCAGTTCCACCATATTAGTTCATCCAGGAGCCATAAATAAACTTAAGGCAACTTAAATTTAATGACTAGGATTTTATTTAATTTTTAAATTTATTTGTTTCGAAAAAATGTCAGCAACTCTTTTGACCCGCAGATAATTGTTATTATTGCTTCTAGTACTGGCGATTAGCGGGTCATGGTGCTACATTTCAACAGAATATTCCTACGCCATTGCGTTTCTGTTTCCGTTAATATTCAAGCTATCGAAAAAATAAAAATTATAATATATAATAAATCAATTATAATATAGAGATGTTTTACTTTACAATGCAGCAGCTAGTATTTTCAAATTTTTTTGAAATGGGAATTTAATTGTAATTGTTAAAGTGCAATTTTATTTCTAATTATTATGATTGTCAACAAAGTCTTTGGGAATGTTGAAAAATAAAGCATAGCATATTGGTTTTGTGCGTGTCCGAAAATACGGACGAAGCATCTGATAATTATATTACTTACAATCAAGAAAGCTATGCCAATACTGCACTTGGAATATTGGAGGTCAATTTGAGCAGTGTATTTAGCTATAAATTTAGATTTAGGTTAAGACATTTTTTTTTCAAAAAGGTACTATTTTCTTACTAATCCAAATTTAAACTAATTTGGCCCGAGGAAAATTAGACAACCTGGTTAAAAATACTTCTTGAATAAACTTTTTAAATTAAAATGATACACGATAATGATTAATATTAATGACCTAAAACTTACTAATTGGTAAATACATGTATATAAAATCATGATGTAATGTAGTTATCAAATAGAATATTTAATAATAATAATAATAATAAACAATAACAATGGTGTAGTTTGCTTTTTACTTGCTCTGACAGTTTTTTAGTTATGAAGCAAGTATTAAAATTGTTGGAATTGGAAAATAATATAATGCTTCCCCACTTTGACTCTAACTATCTAGATTATTTTTTTCCGAGGAAGGTCACTTTTGGACCGAAACGTCAATATATATATATATATATATATATATATATATATATATATATATATATATATATATATATATATATATATATATATATGCTCCGGGATATCATCCGTTCGCTCGTTGAACTCCGACTGGAATCCTGCATCCGACTGGAATTCTGCAAATCCTGCATCCGACTGGAATCCTGCAGACGTTTCGCCAAAATCTCACTTGGCATCTTCAATGCTCGCGCTCCGAAAACACTTCGAACACTCGGAGCGCGAGCATTGAAGATGCCAAGTGAGATTTTGGCGAAACGTCTGCAGGATTCCAGTCGGATGCAGGATTTGCAGAATTCCAGTCGGATGCAGGATTCCAGTCGGAGTTCAACGAGCGAACGGATGATATCCCGGAGTATAGTGTCATCACATTTTTCCATCCGTGAATCAATACGTGAGAATATATATATATATATATATATATATATATATATATATATATATATATATATATATATTTTAAACTTATACTTCAATGACAACGAGATACGAGGGTGATCCCAATATCGATAATTTTCGATTTCACCCTGCATCTCAATAACCAAGACGGCCATGATAATTTTGTTGACGTCATCTTTAATATCACAAAAAAGTAGCACAGTGTCCCGTAAATCGCAACTTCAAGTGCCCAAAATGCGATACCCGGTCTATATCAATGTTAACCAAATGATGTGAGAAATGCCGAAAAATTTAGTAGTAGTAGTAGTGACTGATTAAAAAAAGATCAATTCTTCAGTAAAGAAGAAAAATTGCACGGGAATTGTCGCTAAAGAAAATAGTATTTGATTAAAGAGAACCACGAAATATTAATATTTTTTTAAATCATTTTAACTGCAGAACATTATTTTCCAACATTAAACAGTCTGCAAGCATATTATATTTGAATTAAATTACAATAAAAATAGTAATGCCCTTATTTGACAAAAATAATTATTACGGGGTATTTATCGATAATTATTGTTAAAATACTTATCCGAGTCTGCCGCAAGTTTGGCAGTTGTCTAGTTTACTGAGAAATCTGATTTGAAATATTTTGTCAATCGTTTTTAAAATTCTTCTGTAAAGACGATGGACTGCTGAAGAGATCCTCCTCAACCATAATCACCAACATTTACGCCGAATGGGTTGAAGAAGTTTTAAGAAAGGCTAAGGTGAATGTCTAGCATTGCTAAGATTAATTGACTGTCTTATACCGGTAATACATACATTGAATATCACAAAACATCTTTGGAACGCTGTTGGACAGAGGGCTAAGTTCAGATTACAGATTAAATGTATCAAGAACGACCTTGAAATGGACGCACATCCATCTAATTGTGATTCACAGACCTCTTACAATAAAATGTGTTTTTCTTCGACTTCGCGAAAGCGTTATCAATGGTGGCTTCGTCGTAGTTGTTGCTGTTTCCCAGTTTTCATGGCGATGGCATAGACGGTCATAAAATCAAGACAAAAAGTGCCTCGGTATTTTACCTTCTTCCACTGGTATACTAAGAATAGTAAAACCCACCGGTTTACCTGCCACTCGCCAGAGATAGCTCCAATTACCGTATAATTAATTACAGTAGTTTCCACTACAAAACAGGGTGGCAGTTTTGAAAAACTGGTGCCGAAACCCGAAAGGCCGTCTTTAATTTTTATGGATAATGCACGATATCATTTTAGACTAAGTGAACGTGTACCAAAGAGAAGAAAATTATTGTTATAAATGGTCTAAGATGTGTCTAAATTTTCAAAAATTACAAATCTGACTTGCCGTATGCTACAGACGAAATAATTGCTGAAATGGGTTACCAAGGTGCAAGATTGCCTCCTTACCATTGTATATTTAATGTCATCGAATTGGAGTGGCTCAGTGCAAAATATTTAAAAAAAATACTGATACTGCAGTCGTATATGTTTGGAATGCAGCTTTCCAGGCAGTTACGAAAGAAAATTACGTCAATTGCATAACACAAATACAATAAAAGAATGCTGGGAAAAAGAGAATACACTTGATACAACGCTATTGTACGACCAAAAATATAGTGCATTTATTATTTTGACGTTTTAAGTATTTTACGGTACCTTAATCGCGGACCTTCGCAAGCCCGTATTAAAACCCATCCCAACAGATGTTTATTCTGCATCCTAACGAATATTTGTAAAAACTTGAAATGTTTATTTTAAAAGTAAATGAACCTTTTTAAATTTGATTAAGCATTGATGCTGCGGGGTCGAAGCGTTTATTTTAACATCAGGTGATAAGAGTTTAATCCAAATTGCAATATGTTCATATATATATTACGGAGGTATTTGAATATGATCCTACAAGTAAGTACTTATTTGACCCTGCGAGGTTGTTTTCACTGAATATTTCTAGATAGAACAAGATAAGTGCAAGGATACAACTCCGTCCAGTATTGTGGATGTATTCTTTAAATTTTTGAAGAAACAAATACCCTGTGAGGAAAAGGTCTTAGAAGTCAAAGAGGCTTTACCGAAAAGCAGCAGTTCATAAACATTTTTTATTTCCAGATCTATGCTATAGATCATTTTAATTTACACTCTGTTGAACTGGTAGATTACTTGGGCATGCAGTATAGCGTAGGTGTGATTAATTTACTATTCACTGGTGTTGTGTTACAATCGTGTTTGAAGTATTTTTGTACTCTATTTACCTTACAGGTAAGTTTGAAAATAATCATTTTTGTCGATTAACAAGATCCTTCTTCTTGCATTTTTGTGTCTTCTGCATAGTTCTTCGATTTGTCACCAACAGCAGTCTTTTTTAATAATATAGAATATTTATTAGAACCTTAACATTTTTTAAAGCTTGTTGTTTTTTAACACTTTAATATGTGAAGACCGTGGAATGAAGCAGAAAAAGTGGAGATTATAGTCGAACTACCTCATCAAATATAAAATCCATTTGTCTTCGGATGCTAAACAAATTGTTTTGAATGTTTACCATTTTATAAGAAATTAGGAGAATAGGAGCAGCAATAAAGACAAGTAACATAGAACGAAATACTGTTTTTATTGTTTGTATTTACACGTTTCAAGAAGTGCTCGGTGAAAAAGATTGAAAACCTACTTATATCCCGCTTGTTAGTGTAGGTAGATAAATTCCTAGGACGGTCTTGGAATTGTTACTGGTAAGGGTCTGCTCGGCAGGGTGTTCTATAAGGGGCTGCGGTTTTGGAGTAATAAATAATAGGCAAAGTTAATGACGAGGTCGGTTGTAAAAGCACCATATTTCTGGTCGAGGTATACCGCCACTTGGTATTAAAGTAGACGCAGGATTATTTTCTCGTAGTAGCAGTCCCAATTTTGGCTTTCATAATGAAGACGTTTCGTCGTAAATACAAACTAAATATGGTTCACTTGTATATTTACTCTAGGCAAATGATATTTTATAAGGTATGATATATTTTTTCAATTTTTCAATTTTTTTGGTATTGTATTAATTTTTATTGCATAGACAGGCCATAATTTTTTACATTACACATTAAATACATGAGCACGGGCGTACTAGTTCAATTAATAAGTGCCAAGTACAACTGATTCTATCTCCCTTACTCCAAAGTAATGTAATCCATCTGTCTTGCATTGATCAGATAGACATTTAAGGTGGAACAACATCTGTTTATTATTATAAATGGAACAACAATTTATTGTTTTCGTTGCGTAAACCCCAGCCCCTAAAGGTTGACCGGAAAATAAAATCGGGGTAGGCGGATCCGTCGTACCTGATTGGCTAGTAGTCTAAGGTCATTGAAATGGGCTAATGACTTGTCGTAAACATGGTTCCGAGGTAAAACCCGCAGAGGAGTCCGAAATTCGATTAGTTGTGCCGATTACTATCATTTGAAAAGTTCCTAAAGTGACAATGACGAGTCCTGTAAACGTGGTGGAAATCAACGAGTCCAGGAATAAAGCGTTGCCAATAGAATCGGTAACTCCGAGCTCTAGTGGTTCGTCTTCGCCGCCATATTTGGAGTACAGGGACTACACGATCAATAACTTGTGTCGCAACCAGGCTTCTTACGAAGAACCAGAACGAATTGATCAAATGGTAACTTCATTTTTAAATAACATCCAGAGTTTTCCCGTGAGTTAAATCGGAACATGTCAAATATTGTGTGTTTTGTGTTGTTTTATATCTTTGGAGGTCTTTTTATCTAATTGGTTGATAGATTTACTGGGCTTTCACTTCCTGACAAAAGAACATAATGAATACATTTCTTGAGACAACTTGTCCAAAATAATCGGAAATTGGCCGTTCAGAGTTTTCTTAATGAGTAAATTATGTAAAAGCTAACATTTAAAAAGAGAAATACCCTTCAAAGTATAACAAGATTGCTTTAGAAAAATCGTAGAAAAAGCGCGAAGCAGATTTGTATTTAAAGAAAGAAGTCGTTTCGCGAATTCTTGTCCTAGAAGGGCACATTGTTTTTCTACATTCGAAAAATCGATCTAATTGTATTGTGTACACCCTGCATGGTAGACGAAACCTGAAGCTCTCTCTCTCGACACAATATTCAAGACTGTTTAAATCAAATTATGTTATGTTTTATAGTTTTTCATTCACGGCTACTAATTTATCCGCGAAAACGGCAATTTTCATACTCTTTTAGATTATTTTACCTATAATTGACAAACCCTACGCGAAATTGAAAAAATTCCACAAATGGAGGTTATAGCCATGGCTCTTCCACGTTTCTAGGTCAAAGAATTTTTCCAAAATAGTAAATCCTGTTCGAGAAAATAAGTTGTTTCTGAAAAAATGGCGTCTTGACTGAGCCCCCGAAATAGGGATTTTAATATGGATTTTTTCAAATATGTATGTGATAGATAAAAACCGCAAATACAAGAATTGTAGCTCTTGATTTCGCCTATGACACGGTTTGAACCGATTATCTATTTTTACGATTTTTGATTTGCGGTTAATAATTTATTGTGTAAAAGAACAATTTTTTAGGTCTTTTATATTTTTGCATATGATTTGAAAACTGGACCTTCCGCTTCTGCTGGTTAAAGAATTTTGCCGATCAAGTGAACGATTATGGAGAAAAACATATTTTTCTGGAAGGCAAAGTTACAATTTTTTTTTTTTAAATACTTTGTAAAGCCCCTTACACGTGCGATTTTTTATCTATTTTAGCGAAGCTGGACATCTCGCTTAACTCAAGATGACCCGCAAATAGATCTTGGAAAGTGTTTTGTAAAAATTGTAATTTTTATGTTGTAGACCGATCAACTGAGTGCCAACTACGAGTGGAGTTTAACCTCCTCCTCTGCGCAGATTTCCCATTGCTATCAAGAGCCGACCCATAAACCTTTCCTTCCGTTTAACAAGACCTACGACGTTCTCCCGTCGTACGAAGAGGCCGGAGTTAACTCCGATGTTGTCTCCAACAGTGAGTACCTTTTGTTCCTCTGCAGAAGCCAATACAATGATTGACGAAACGTCAGCAGAAATTTTGTAAATAGTGTTACAGTAGCCAGTGGAAGTTTCTTAAAAAAAAGGAGTTGATTGACTGACAATGTTCTTAGCTAAGGGTTAACTTGAGTATATATTTTTATGCCATAATATGTACCCGGTATCGTATTTTGGGCACTTTTATGGGGTATCTCGGGTGTGGTACTTTTTTGTGAAATTAAAGATGCCGTGTAACAAGACTATCGTGGCCCTCCGGGTTTTTGAGATGCAGGGTGAAGTAAAAAACTATCGATTGTGGGACCACCCCGTATCTCCGTTGCCTTATTTTGAAACACCCTAGATTTTATAAAATTGTTTTTTCTTTACACTTGAAAACTAAAATAGGAATTTTTTATTATCGATCCATGGAAGCAATAGTGCGAAAATATATGGGTGGTTATAAATGACCAAAAAAATATTTGTTCTAATTTAATTAAATTAATTTCATATATACAGCTTTTATTACAAAAATTGGCGGTTTAGAAGTCACGGCCAATTTTCTGCAACAACTCGGCTATTTTATTTCAAATCTAACTTAAGCTCCATAATAACCAATTATAATTTTTTTACACGTTAGAAGCGCAAGGTAATAGAACTTACTACTAATTACAAAACATTTTCTACATAACCTCAATCTTGGGCAATGCAAGTGGTGTATATATGGTTTCAATTTCCTTAATAGCATTAAGTGTTTCTACCTCTCGCCGAATTCTAATTTTTAAGTCTTGAACACTTTTTTTATGCAGCTCCATAAAAAAGTCTAGGGATGTCAAGTCAGGGCTTGCCTATTAATGCTGCGATATTTTTAAAATTTCTGATGCTATTTTGCAAATTGTTGGAAAAAATATTATCCGGCTATTCAACATGGCTGTTAATTTTCTTCTTTTTCGATATAAACGCATTTGTAAATTTGATAAGATCATATCCTAAGTCGTATTGCAACATCGGGTATATCTGTTGGGTACATTGTTGTTGACCTATAACAGATAGAATAGAGTTAATTGGTTTATTTATCGTGCTTATCGCGCAAGGATATGCAGTAAGAAGAATTTTTTCATATTGACGTCGAACCTGCTTGTCATTTTTACGAATTTCCGGTTGATAATCGTCGAAACCGAAAGTAAATCATAAAGAATTTTTGCATCGTTTTATTTAAACAAATTATACCTCTCTTCGATTCGCTTGCAATCACAAGCAGTGGCATATTGCATATTTTATATAATTTACACCGAAAAAGCTTATGTTTAGCTGATAAAAAATGTTGGAATTAAAAAATATATATCTGTTGACTCGAATTTATTCTCAAATTTCTTTTACTTACGATGCATATAACGATTCCATTATATAGAGAATCGGTAGTAAAGAAAAATAAAATGTAAACAAAAGAAAATGGCAGTAAGTGGTTGTGGAAATAATTCTGTGATGAATTAAAAATTATGCGAAAATCAGCACTTGATTTATCTCATAACACGTGTTTAATGTTGTTTCGAAACAGTTGATGCACCACAGTTAGCGTATTCTGCCTGGTATTTACATTGCGGGTTTCATAACCAAAAACTAGCTTATCTTTTAAATAGGGAGGGCTAGAAGCCTTATTGTCTATTCTCGGCAACTGCCCCAATTTAATTATAGAGGATACGTGGTCACATTTGCATAAGCCATACACGAACCTGCAACAGCTGTTCTGTATTTTTTGATAACATTGTTGCATTTTTCGAAAAATCCGAGAGTCATACATACAATCTTAACTGCGACTCAGCCGACTCACCTTTCACCAGTATGAGAATCAGCCATCCGAGACAATGCTCATTCCATTCCTTTAGCTCTGCCCCCTCAATCTATAGGGTGTTCGGAAATTGAGTTCTAAATCTTCGACTAAAGATTTAACGTGGTAAAATAATGGTAATAGTCAGGTAACAAAAATCGAAATTCATTTTTAATTTTAATCTAATTTAATTAATTTTATTTTTAACGTATTGGAAATAGAACAAATTGCGCTAAGCAGAATCAAAAATCCTCAAAAATTGTTATTCTTGTTTTAAGTCGATAAGTGTTATCGTTTAGCCAAATCTATTTTTGTATTTTCGGCGAATTTCACCCGTAAATTTTACCTAACAGGAGTTAATGAAATTTGAAAAAGTCATTATCACAATCCGTTAAAAATTAGTTTCTATTAAAAGAACTCATTTTCCAACTACTACTGTGATGACCCAGCAGGAATATTCAAATATTGAACATCGCGATATGCATTTTTGCTACGGAAGAGCGAATCGTAATGCAGATCAACCACGACGGCTTATTCCAATACAAGCGTGCTATATGATAAGATATTCTATCAAAAAATACAGAAGACTTGGAGAATATGAATAAATGGGACTGACGAGGCTCCATTCAGTCATCATGACATTGTAAGTTTTCGAAATATGCATCAGTGGAGATCCACATGCAAAAATTGAAGCAGTGATTATAGGAGATAATCTTATAGTTTTTACTTGGTGCATGTAGTTCCTTGTTTAAAATTTTTTATTAGAGAATCTTTTGCGACAACTGGGCTGTTATTACATTATCAAAAGAAATTGAAGAAAATTTTTTATAGAAAAGAACAATATAACGTCTTGTAAATTTCGATTGTATTTTTTAAAACTTTTGCACATACCGTCTAACTTACTCATATATCGGAGTTGAGGGTTGTGAGCAGTGGCATGCCCCAGGGCTCCGTCTTGGGTCCGCTATTGTTCACTATTTACATCAATGACTTGTATCATTTTCTGTTCCCCAATAAATGTACACTTTATGCGGATGATACATCGTTTGTGACTGATGGCAAAGACTCCAATGAACTTATGCACAATGTTGCTAATGTTGAGCGGTTGGCGGAACTTTGGTTCACCAACAATAACCTTAAACTAAACACAGATAAGACACAACGTCTTGTTTTCTCAAATAATAATAATCTACTGGAGGGCAAAAGTGTAATGCTCTTGGGAGTAAGGCTTGACGATGGTTTAAATGCGTTTTGTTCTATCTACAAAAAGCATTGGACTTGGTCGATGTTGATATTTTAGTGAAGAAGCTTTGTTCATATGGTATTAGAGGTAACGCCCTACATTGGTTAAGGTCTTTCCTTGAGAGTCGTTAGCAGTTTGTCATATTACGAAATACCTTAGGTTTTGAATGCGTCTCTGTCTAACGGTCAGTGAATTGCGGTGAACCTCAGGGAAGTTTACTCGGTCCTTTATTGTTCATAGTGGTAATAAATGACGTGTTTTCATCTTTCCCCATACTTGCTTTTCCCTTTTTGCGGATAATGCTGTTTCTACCCCTTCTGCAGGTTCATCTGAGCGACTTACCATTACAACCAAGACAACTAATGAACAGAAATTAACAAATTAATATTAAATGAAAGTAAAACTAAGATGATCGCCTTTTCAACACGGGATTTAAATAAGAGTTTAGGTAGATCACATTCTCATTGCTCATTACTACAAATACAAATGTACCGTATTTCCTATGTCTATTTCTGTTTCAACTACGCCTTGGTTTGTTGGGGTGGTTCTCCACGTGCGGAGCAAGACTTTAGGATGCATAAACGCATTTTACGGACTATACTGTTTAAGCCGTGGAATTGTTCATGTCCATAGGCGACACGAAAAAGAGTTTCTTACAAAAGTTTCGTGGGCTCTCCTGACGATTTAAAATATTATAATTTTGTTTATACAGGATGTCCCAAAAGTGTCTCGCTCGATATCAACTTTGTTATTTTAAATGGGAAAGCATATAGATCTCGACGTTTTTGGAATCCTAGGTTAAAATAAAGATCACTTTCTTAAGAAATTCCTATCCAAATTTTGCATAGCTTATGCAGAAATTGAGGTTATGTGTTTTCTTTTCCATATTTTGATTGAGAAAATTTAACCACAGCACACAAATAGCGAATTCAATTAACAAAATCTCAGGATTTTCAATCTTGTTGTTTATTGTCTTGCGGTGATTTCCAGGAATATAACCTTCAAGGTGGGAGTTTCTGGCAAGTATTTTTGATGACCAGATTGTTCTCATCACAGAATTGGATGAGTTTTCCGCCCCTGTCGTTCCTTTCTTCAACACTTGTTGCTCAAGTCTCATTTATAAGTCTTCATTCGTCGATTTAAATGTATCTCGTTTTTTTTTAGATTACGATGCGGTTAGCAACGTTTCGCCGCTGCAGAGCAAGGCAAATCAGCCTATCTCGAAGCGGGCCCGAACGCAATACACCTCACATCAGCTCATCGAACTGGAGAAAGAGTTCAGCAGCGGCAAATACCTGTGCAGGCCGAAGCGGATACATTTGGCGAACCAGCTGAAGCTGACGGAAAAACAGATCAAGGTGTGGTTCCAAAACAGGAGGATGAAATTCAAGAAAGAAAACAAGGTGAAGAACATTGCTGCTTATCGGGAAACCTCCAACGCGTCATCTCCCGGCGACTCACCGTCGAACCACGGGACCCAAAAGGCTTATCACTCTTCCGACTCGGACATCGTCAACAGGCTGATAAGTCACTCGGCAGTGATTCAAAACGCTTACAATTATTCTCCCCCTCTGTCGGTACCGGCTACGTATCAGACCGGCCAGTGGACCGGTCCGGTTTGTCATCAGTCCGGTTTCAACTTGCAAATAACAGAAAACAGTTTTCCCGAATACGCCCCGGCCTACAATTACCAGAATTACTCTGTATCCGGTTACGAATGCAATTTGGGGTCGGCAGTATTTCAAAACCAAAAGTCCTTCTCGCCGGTTTCCGTCAAAAGGGAGGAGCTGCAACAGTTTGTGGTAGATAGCGAAAAAGAGAGCGAAAATCGGTACGGCACTGATTCGTGGGGTACCGGTCAGCTGGTCGGGACAGGGGCGGCGCAAGCGGCGTGCGCGAAAAGCTTGACGCAACTTTGAGCGGGAAATTTAAACTTTCCGGACTAAGTTAATAATTAATGCAGGGCGACGCAAGAATAACATTAAAAACCAGACGGGCATGTGAAGAGTCGAGACAAGCTGGCATGAAAAAAAAAAGAATAAAAACAGTTGAAAATAACGATTATATCGAATATCCTGTGTTTATATTTTACGAAATTTTGTTTGAATAAAAATTAAAAACCAGTTTTAGGATTGACGCGTTTATTAAAAGCCTATAAATAAAAACTGACAATTTTTCCAATCATTATCTCAATAAATTGAAGATAATCATGATCATGATACTTTTGTGTTGATCGATATGGTATTTTGGCATATTTTTGCTTCTAATTTGCTTGAATATAATGAAATTTGCTTCTTTATTGTCTATTTACTGGTTCATCTAAAATAAAGAAATATTTAAAAATCTGTAGTGTATCTGTTATTTCAGTATAAATAACAATAACATAATACCCGAAGATGAAGGAGCAGATTTAAATGTACCTACAACTGTTGGCATTTTTATGGTTTTAGGAATCTAAGGCAAGCCTGGCAGTGAAGTATCCCGCTCAAGAACTGCACACCTTTCTAAAATCTTCCTTTATAGTTCGATTTTGATATTTATTTTTTTTAATTTATTAATTATTATTATTATTTTATTTTATTTTTTATTTAATTTGTTCTATTTTGTCCCCATCCGAGTTGGATACCCTTTCAAACATGATTCATGACAAAGCTTAAAATCTTCATTTATCTAATACCCAAAATAACATTCAGAAATTTTAAAAACTAACGTCAACGCTAGGAAAACCATCAAACTCTTCTAAACTACCAAACACTGTAACAAATGTATCATCGCACCAACTTTCGGAAACGGAAAAATTAGTTCTTTCAAAAGGTTCCAACTTCGTCCTTGCCCCAGGTATTATCCCAAAAAAGAAAATTATTTCAAATGTCGAGTTTATCCTAAACAAACAGCCATCTCAAACAGCTAATGAAATTCGATTTGAAACCGCAAAAATCCTTTAATAATTTTCTGTATACTCTCAAGAACCTAAAACCAATTATATTTTCGAATTTGTTTCAAAATGTTACTATACTAATAGTACAATCAAACAAACATTTAAAGAAGCTAAAAGCATTCATGCATAATATGAAAGACGCAAAACAACTTTCCTAAAACTGGTCTGCATTTCCCATGTTTCTTTCCGGCAATTCTAAAGAAATTATCCTGAACATTGATTTTTATACTAACTTCTTGCCTATTATTGAAAACATCCAGCAAAACTATTTTTAAATACACTTTGTTCCTCAGAAAGTCCAAATAATTTCTGGTTGGTATTAAAAATCGACTTGAAGCTGTACTAAGAAAGAAAATAATAATTATTTATTAATTATTTCAATCATAAGGTATCGTAGTAGCGTGTCGGAAAATGCGATAATATACATGGTGCCCCATTTACTTTCAATCGAATACATCCCTATATTTTGATGGTTGATGATGGTTTAAAATTTTTAAGATACTCAACTGAAATGCAATGTCAATCGACGAACGCAGGTTATTTCGTTAATTCTTAAAATTTTGTAAAATAATTAGTACTAATACACTAATTCAATTTGATTTCAAGAAACAATAATTTTTAGTGGGTAACAGTTTTCGTTGTTTCAAGAACTAGTAGTCTCCATTTATTTCAATACATTTTTCAATTCTTTTAAGATTCGGTACGGATAATCGTCTAAGTTCTTAAAATACAAGCTATTTACAATATATTCTGATTTCTTAATTATTATTGACAGTATTGGCGCTTTAACAGTAAATTTATTTGCTACAAGAAGAAAAGAAGAAGAATTTTTTTTCTCCAAAGTTGGCGTCATTATTAATTCCGAAATTTGATTTTCAATAGCGCGTTTTTATTGGAGAATTGCAAAGCGCCCTCTAGGGACGACACAAACAATTGACATCAATCCGTTCAAAGCAACGCTTAGACGCAAGTTTAAGACGAGTTTTACAAAATGTTTTTAACCATTCTCAAATTATTGACATTTATTTCTAGAAATGATCTTAGCCCCCTACCACAGGTAGACATTTTATTCTAAGAATAATAATCGAATATACAATAACTTTAGTCATCTGTGATATATTTCCGTACATATGTAACGTATTTCTCAAAATACGGGATTTAATAGGTCACTAGGTCAAACATACCTTTTATAAAATAAAAAAATTTTCATTGCATCTTCGTTATTTTATACTTTGGTAACATTATGCACCTTAAAATATGACGTATTTCTCGTAAATGTATGCATATAATTCGATGCTAGTGTTTAAATATACCTTTCGAGTAAATTTTAACATTTTTTTTAATTTTTATACGCATATTTCTGTTTCGTTACTTTTTTAGTATACTCTTTTTCTAATTCGAATATTTTCCAGCGTAGACAAATCTGCAAATTTAGCGAGGTCTTCAGTGTTCGACGGCTCAGATGGTTATTCGAAGGGCTGGGGGGTCTTTTGTGGTAATTTGACCAGCGTTTCAATCAAATATCGTGGTATTGAATATTGAAGAATACACCAAGCTGCATATTGTAATCTTGTGATTAAATTAATTTATCTAAGCAATTAGCTTCATTTTTTTTCTTGTGTACCAACTCACTCTTTTAAGAACTTCCACATTATTTTTTAATAGTGATACATTTGATAGTGATTATTTGCCCTTACATAGAAGAAAAACTATTGGAATTACATTGGTCAAAATTAAAAAAACCAAAATCCAGTGGCTTGATGACCTTCCGAACTTTTAAATGAATGAATGAGTTATGCATTCATTCCATTCATTCAAATTCACCATTTGAATTTTACGATTTTGTGAAATTACTTTTTCCTGAAAAAATACGAAAATTTGCAATATAGTACATAAACAAATGGCATTATGTTGACAACACTCAAATACTAACAAAATATCTGTCTTTGAACATTTTTTATCTCCTCCTGAAAGACCTGTTATAAAAATTAAACAAAACAAAATGAAATGATAAAATAAGTAATAAAAATGTTTTAATTTATTGCAAAAGCTGAAATAAGAAGGAAATAGATTTCTTTCATTCTCCTGTCCGAACGACCCTTGAACCTTAAGTAGTTTCAGTTTGTGGTAAAACGCGTTATGGTGTGTTAGTACAGTGCCGAAGGTTCCAGTCAAGAGTTTTTCTTAAGTAGTTTCACTCTGAAGAAGCCAAGTCTTGTTTTTTCCAGCTCCAGACACAAAATGGTGTTTCCGATTATTTTGAAGAGATTAAGTCAATTAAAGCCTAGAAATAATAATCACAATAATAATAATAATAATAATAATATCTTTGTTCAGTTCCTAAAACAACCGCCAGAAGGGGCAACTTCCATCCAGCGTATATTAGCAGCATTGTACCATTTTCTAGTCTCGAAACATTTAGCTATACTTCGAATAACAGAAAAAGTAATTTACTACATATTTTTTAATTAAGAAAATATATATTTTACGATTTCAAATAAATAAGTTTTCAGCACTAAATCAGTCGTCCGTTTAAAAGAATCCAACTGTAAACTAGCTTGAACCGAATTCAAATAATACGTTCGGTTTGTGTTTTTTCATTTTTTGTTAATGAGTTTTGACGAATTTTGTTCCTGGGGTAAGTTTCTAAGCATTTTCCTTCGCCTGTCGAAATTGACATGAAAGAAAGGTGCTAGAAAATTGCGTTGTTTTTGAAAATGTTGAAAATTTCTAAATAATGGGACAAATTTGATTTTTTTCTGTTTTGCAAGCTTCCGTTTTATAAATATACCTTAATTAAATGAAATATCATTTAAACTACTCACATGAACCAGGTTGAATACTTAAATTTAAATAAAACTTAAAAATTTAATTAATCTTAAACATTCGATTTCACTGAATACCTTCGAGTTGATACAAACTTGATATGATCCTAACATTGTGTAACAAATAAAGTTTAGTTTATCTTATTACAAATCAGAGATAAGAGGCTTTAAAAAATGCAATAAAAAAATGATGGAAAAAATATTCCCCATATGATTCGGCTTCCATTGGGGACACTGTTTTTTTTTTCTTGAATATTGAGTCTTAGCATGGGTGCTACATATTAGTTTTAAAAATACTCCGTTGAGGTGTAAGTTTTTATTCACGGACAGAATCGAAAGAATAAATACAAGTTAAGCAGTTGCCTGCTCTGCGCGAAAATGATTCCTTTGTGATCACATATTATCAATAATAAAAAACCATTCTGTTTATGTAAAATGTAAATTGACTACTTCAGTCAGCTGATGGACGAATGTTATCATTTGGCGTACAGATGTTCCACTCTAGTAGATTGAAGTTCCTATCCGCAATTGTCACTTCTTTCCTACCAAGTGCTTCGAATAAAAATGAATTTCGCAATTAATTGCAATTGATGACTTTTCTGATTGACGTAACATGTTTGTGTTTTAATTATCAGGAAAGATCCAATACAATTTGTCACTGGTACTTCAAATAAATGATTCATTCGTTCGATTGTTTTTAGTAATGATCACCTGTTATCAAGTTGTTTTGTATGTGTTAAATTGAAGCAAATTGTGCGACGCTTCGTTGCAAGCTAAAGCCAAAGACAAAGTTTTGCGGTCTTTTAGTCACAATCCAATCTAATTTTCTGAAACGAATTGGTCATTTTTTTTTTACTACCTAATTCACAATTTAATGTACATACAGAGTAGTGACTATTATCTAGGGTTAATGATACCTTTATGCTTACTATAGTGGAGTAAGTGCCAAATACCACTAGAGAAGCACCAACAAAAAGACCTTTCCTTTTTAATGTTAATGTTAACAATTTTAAGATAGTTACAAAAGTTTTCTACCTAAAAATTTTATTTGTACAAAGAACCTTTTAAAATTCGATTTTTTAAAGAATGAAGACCCAAATTAATAATTATTTTTTGGATTTTAGAAAATCATGCAGGTACTAAATTTCAATCAAAT